GTAGTCGGGCTTTAGCGGGCTTTGGCGGGCTTGCGGGGTGTACCAGCCCATCCATGACAGTTTCCGAAAATGTCATGAGAAATCCGTCATGGATTAATAGGTTTCTTGTAGTGTGTGCCGCATGCGTATGTCCACATATTCGTCCCACATATGGGTTGGGTTTGGGGGTGCTGGACAGCTCAGATGTATATGGGGGGGTTTTGTGGGGGCTAGTCAGGTGGCAATTTCTTGACCAGGAAGTGACCAAGTTGCTTCACCAGACGTATAGGAAGGGTTTGAGGAGTCACATTGTAGATGCTCTAAGTGTACATGAGTAGGAACCCACAAATTGTTTTCCTGGACAAAGGAGGTTGGTTTCCTTTCACTCTCTCTTTGACAAAAGACCAATGATTCCTCTAAACTAAGTAGGTGGAAGGGCAACTAGGTAATATTTGGTCTATGACTCCACTAGTCCATCGTGGACTAGGAGGAGGGAGAGAGGATGAGTCCATAGCCTTTCCATGAACCAACCCCTCTCATCCCTCCAACTTGGTGGGGTTCTCTTCTGGGATCTTAGAGCTCTTTGTGGGATTCTTTCAACATTCCTCCTCTTTGAGTGGATCGCCTTCTTTTTCCTTGTTGATTTGTGGATCATAATATTTAACAAGGGCTTATATTTTGTTGACTTGGTCTTGCCTTGACATATTTGACTTTGAGCGATCTTAGCCTCAATTAGGAAGACCCCTGGGTAATTTTTATTTATAAGGATGTTGGTGATGTCTCGTGCATTAATTGTATAGAGATTTATTGGGACATATGTCCAAAAGATGTACTCCCTTCGTCCCAAAATAAGTGGTGTGGTTTTAATTCAAATAAGTCCAAATTTGAACTAAAACCACACAACTTATTTTGGGAAGGATGGAGTATAAGTCATCTTATGATGACATACATCAACATCATACAAAACAAATATTATGCTCTAGTATTCTGCTAACTATTCTTGAAAGTTTAAGGTAATAAAGTTGGACATTTTTAGTGCTCGAGGAACCAAATTTAAATGGATAGATAATCCACACGCTTCAGTTACCAAAAGCACATCATGTATTCAAGAATGAATGTGCCCTCATTTATGATTGGGATACTTGACAAATATGCATTTAGTCCATAAATGGACCACCGGAGAGCCACTATCAGCTTTGTTGTGTATGCAAGGCAATACACTTACATGCTCACTTCTAAGGAGTTTGATATGCTCGTAATCATGGTTTAGTTGGACATTGTTTTGGTGAGGTATGTGGATATTAAGAATTCATGTCTTGTTACATCCTCGCTCTTGCGCGAGGAGCTTTATCCTACAAAGCGCCTAAAATAAACCATGGCATCATTAGGGATGCAAACAATTTTGTGGCACATTAAGAAGCTACCGGGTAGGTTGAATGTCCAGGAAATTTTATTCCCAACATTAAAGTGGAGACAACATATCTAAACCACATACTACGGCCATGAACGCATGTATACCTATGCGAGTAATGGCAAGTTACCATTGTTGCCAAAATCATTAACATTATCTCTCATGTAATAAAATATGAGTTCATGATCAAGCATATGATGTTTATTTTATGAAGTTTTGTGGTTCCGCTTATTAAAGGCATACTATCCGTTCTCTTATATGTTAAAGTCATGGGTCTAGAATGCCTTTTGATCCTGGAAATGAGGACCGTTGTATAAACCAACTACCATAAAGTATTGTGCTTCCCATTGTGAGATAGAATGATGTACTATAAGTACTGAGGCTTAGTGGCATCTCATTAGTCATTCTAACTCTTTAATTTGGTGTATTATTTCTATCGAGAGTTTGTTTATGATGTTTGTTAACCTTATGACAGTAAGAAGTTATTGGAATTGATCTCTAAGTGTAACAAACCAAGAAATAATAGGCGAAGGCAACCCCCCCGCCCAATGACCGTACTTTGATCGAAGGACCCATAACAACGTCTAGTTTAGGTCCCTAGCCCCTTAACACTATACACATATACAAGGAGGAGAACACACATTTTTGCGTGTGTGACATATGGGATAAACCCCCAAACTCCTAAATATCGACATGGGAAAAGAAGTACCGAAGGGCCAAATGCCACCGTTGGCCACCCGGAAGTTTGTTCCAACGATGTCCTTCACGTCTACATTGGCCTGCTGCACATCCGCAACACCACCATGAGGTTTCCACACATCCATTTGGGTTCTACATGTGGTGGTAAAGTCCTTAAGTGCATGGGCTCAAGTTCTAATCACAGGTGTTCTACCACAACTATAGGATATTTACAGTTAATCTCGCAAGTCGCAAGCACCTGTTCTATATATAAATAGTTGATCCACACTAATTATGTGTCTCTCAGCATGCATACATGCCAACTTATTTTTTAGTTGCATGCCCTGTACCACTATCTACCAATTTTTCGTAACCATGCAACTCATCCACATCAATAAATCATTCATGTTTGACACATCACTAAAATGCCATCTCATCATAGTTACCACTCACACTTTATCTAGGTCATTAGTGTACCATTTTTAGCATGTGTTCCATTATCTTCTAGTGTCAACAATCACGAGTCCCAAACTTTCGCACGAGAATCACATCGTCGTGGAAGATACTCGGGTGACTAGGTCCATCTCTCCTCACGCATCATGCGTCGCCTTTTGGACCCACTCTAGTCACCACCGATGTCCTCGCCATTGCCGTCAATATTGGCGGCAATGTTAGAATGGAGCATCACACCACCCTATCCTCGCGCTATGCATCCTATCTTATGCATTCGCAAAAGCCAAGACCCAACAAACACGTTAGGATCAATGCAAATCCTCCATGACCCTACGACTCCCTTGAGATTGGTTGTACCAACGACGAACTCATTGTGAACGCAACGACTCTCCTGTATACACTTTCATTTGTCATCCACGACCTCGACGTTCAAGCACCGCGTCTCCTCGCTCAATAGTCTCACCCTTTATTGGTGAATAGGTCGTAGAACTTCGACGACCGTGGTAGGGTAGGGCTAGGGGTAACGCTAGCTTATATTTGGGATCCCTCCATCAACTTTGACGACGAGTCGTTTGTTCGAGGTTATCGAGTGCTCAACTTTGGGATCCAAGAGGGACTTGTATGGCGTCGCTTGCTCTTCGTGTCTGAGTGGAAGTTTGTCTCATTGTTTTTAGGGTAGAAGTCGGCCGTGCAAAATTACCCCTTTGCCTCTCTCACGAGTGCCCACGCAACTAGGGTTTCTCCGCCTCTCGTCGGCGCTGTCGCCAGCCCGCCTCATCTCTGGCGGTCTTAGGGTCATGGAGGTGTGATGGATCTTGACTCTTTCATGATGACTTCCCAACTATTTAATACAAATTCTGCCTGGCTCCGGTGAGGGAGGGCGCTGATGACGGCACACCTTTGGCTCGCTTTAGTGCTTGTAGTCGTCGCTAGGTGGTTTACTTGGATGTAATTTTTATGATTTCAGGTATTTCTTGTATTGCCATGAAAGATGATGAATAGATGATGAAAAGCTTACCTTCAACCGGTTGATGCGCGCGGGGGCATCCGCCGCTTGCATAGCCGTTAGATTAATCCTGATCAAGCGGCCACGCTGGCCACAAGGCAGTCCCGCGCGACGAGTAGTTTTCTTACAATAATGGTCTTGTTTCAGTTGATTTCTGCAACACATGACTAGTTTCAAAAGGAAAGAAAAAACGATTCGGTGGTGAAGTTTTTTTCTGCAACTGGGGTCTTGTTTCAAAAGATTTCTGTAACATATCTTTTGTTTCATAAAGAAAAGAAAGGGAAAACTTTGCTTTTGCCACTCTAGCTTTTGCCTACTTTGCTTATGCCACTCTATATTTTGACATATCACTTTTGCCACTCTTAGTTTTTGACAATACATTACAAACGCCATTTAGTGGCAAAAGCAATTTCATTTTTGCCACTCTAGATTTTGACAATGTATCGCAATTGCCACTCTAAAATTATTGCTTTTGCCACGGAATGACAATTGTGATGTATTGTCAAAAACTAAGAGTGGCAAAAATGAAATGTCAAATTCTAGAGTGACATAAGCAAAGTGGTCAAAATCTAGAGTGGCAAAAACAAAGTTTTTCCGAAAAGAAATGGTTGTGAAGGTTTTTTTTTGCAACAAGGGTCATGATTTAAAAACATAGCCCGAGTTGCAGCACCGCAGGAGCGCCCAACGTTAGGGAGTGAGTGGTCAGACATTGCAACGTGAGGCATGTTTCAGAAACATAGCTCCGGTTGCAGAAAACGTCGAAGAAGCGCCAGGCGTGAGAGGTCGCCGCCGTCGTGCTCGATTGGAGCTAGCAGCTGCTCACGGGGCTGAGACGGAGGAGGAGCAGCAACTCCGGCGAGCACGGCAAGGACTAGTTCTCCGGCGCGTCGGCGGCAGCGATTTTGCGGTGGTGGCGACTGCCTTGGGCAGAGCTGTGACAGGACGATGGTGAGGGGATTCTGTTTCTGAAACTGAGTGGCTGTTGCAGGAAGTATGGAGGTGGTCACACACGTTCGATGGTTAAATCAGACGGCTGTCAGGATACTCATCCAACGGTGCTCCATGCGGCCGATGTTTCTAATACATCCGCCGGAAGACGCGTAGCTTTGTTTTTTTAGGTAAGTCTGGCCTCGCTGTTGCGTCGGTTTTTTTAGTATTGGGCGGAGCTCGCTGGAGTTTTTTTTTTTTGAGCTCGCTGGAGTTTGAAGGCCCGAAAGGAAGCTAGACACGGCCACACGGGCCCAACGAGCCTGACTTTTATATCGCAATGGTAGAGCGGCCCAACTGTTCTTTTAGATGAGGGGGAGCGGCCCAACTAAGCAGGGAAAGACTGTTAGAGTGGAGAGAGAGCGGCCCAACAAAGGCGGAGGCTTCCCTCGAAAAAAAAGGCGGAGGCGGGAAAAGGCAAGCCACCACTGAAAGCCGGGAGCGGGAGAGAGGGGGAGCCATGGAAATCGACGGCGATGGCGGCGGCGGCGAACCGGAGGACAGGGGGCGAATGGAGCTGGTGGACCTCCTGGAAGGCATCCGAACCTCCGAGGTTCGTCCTCTCTCTCAGCCCAACGCGTCTCGCGGTTGCCGCGCCGTCCATTTCCACGCCCCCTCTAGGGTTTTACTCTGGTTCGAGGTGCCGCGGCCGAGCTCAGATTTGGTATGCGTGCGAGCGGGTACCGGATTCGGCTGGATTGCTAATTGGAGTCTCGGAAGCGGGCGTTCTTGGGTGGGATTTGGTACCCGTGATGCTTCCTGGTTGCATTAGGGGGGAGGGGGGCTCATGCTCGATTGGTGTGATTCTGGGCAGCAATTTATTTTCCATTCGATTCCAACCATTTCATTTTTCAACACGGCAATTAGAGGCTAAAGTTTGATGGGTATGACACTGAATCGAATGGTATGGGCTAACTTTCTACTGATTTTGATAGGTTTTGGAGAGCAGAACTTGCCTTATCAACCAACTCGAGGGTTCCTCCCAGTTCTCTGCAGAAGATCTGGGCCTAATACTTGAAACCCTCACTGTATCCTTTCTCCATTTCGGTATGATTCCCTTTGATGCATGACGGTGTTATATTGGAAGAAGTCACTGATTCAGCTTTCCATTTAGTGCTGTTACTGTTGTTGCGTGTGTTCCCTTAATGGCACTTTAGGCATCTTGGGATGAGTCCAGATGTTCAGGTGTATCACACTGCCTGCTACACAAGTCAGTTTTGCAGGTTGTTCTGAAATGCGCTGAGTTAGATACAGCCGCATGTCTGCCGCAATTTCTTACTCTGGGTGCAAAGGTACTTTTTGCCTTTTTCAAATGCAGTCCTGCTTCACTTCATCTGCCAATATATAGCTGCAAATCTGATATCTTCCTGAATCAATGAATCCTGTACCAGGCCAGCTCATGGTGTGGGAAGCATCTCATATGGTTCACCGAATCTATTGATGAATCTGAAGCACTTCAAGAGGAAGAGCACAACTGTTTATGCCTAGAGGTTGTGGGAACAACACCTTTAATTCTGATTAGCTTGTTTTTGCTCCATTGGTGACAAATGGATAACTGTGTTAACAGAAATCTTCTGCATGGCTAAGGCTTCTCAGACCTCCAGATATGTTATAGCCTAAAATGCCCAAAGTTCTAACCATGTATCCTGCCTTCTGTGTGATATCACTATATTCTGTATAGCTGTCACTGGGACCTATATATATAGTATTCTTATATACATAAATCATGGGCAGCATCTCATTGTATGAAGACATGAAGTTAGATATCATACGAAGCAAAATGAATATGAGTATTTTCAAGACAGACCTTTATGTTCATTTACAGGAAAGATACAGTATAATAATATTAACTGGCACATTTCTTCACTAGTATGTCCACTTTAATTTTGTGGCCAATGTTTTTTCATCTGTAGTACCATCACGTCCAGTTTAATCATGAGGTAGAGGTTCTGATAAAGATTCAACTTCTTGACTGCAGATAATTTCACTGACCTTAAATATCTCTATCAAGCTCCTTCCAATGGCGGCAAAATGCATCACTGTTGATGTCGTGCATACTATTGGTGGTTTTATTTCGGAATTGCTAACACTGACGGAAAACTCAATAGTTGACAAGGTAATACTCCTTATCTTCTGCAATTGTTGCATCAACTGGTTTAACTACACAGGCAATGGGAGGCATCTACATGGGAGAAAGCTATACTTTTCTGAGGCATAAATCACTTTATTTCCCTCCATAACCATCCCGTTTGATTGTGTCCTCTAAGATAGTTTTATATCTTACCTTCCTTAGCTATCCTCGCTTCTGGAAGCCATATGTAACTATGATATCTAAATGGAAAACGGTTATAATGTGCTGCTTGTTAAAGTACACATGTTACTTCTCACATGATGTCATCATAAGAACTTCTAGGCTTAAAATTACTTGCATGTTTTTTAGCTACTTCAAGTGGGCTATTTTGTAAAAATATTGGAATTGCATCCTTAAAACGGAAAAATTTCCATAGCAGTGGCAATGGCATATACCATATTGAAATGTTAATATTCCAGCAATGACATCATCTGGTATATGCTCTCTGATAAATATCTGTTGACAGACAGTTAATGGAACTGCAGCACATGTTGCCAAGGCTGCACCTGCTTTTCTGGATGAAACCATCAAACTGTGCAGAGCATATTGTGAGGCTGCAAAGTCAGATATCGGCAGAATTTCCATGCCTACAGAAGAGATAACTGTGAAACTCCAATTACCAGATCTTACAAGCGACGTGGTCAGGATTACAGCATGCACTATTCAGACCTTGTGTAAAATAGGAACATATGCAGCATCCAGTGGTGGAAGCCAGGTGGCTTTATTGAATGTGTCATGGAAGGGTGTAGTTTCCTTACTGCAACTTGGCAAAGGACTGATAGAAGTAAAAGTTAGTGTCAGTGATATCATTTCGACTCTTATCTCCCTTGTCATTGAATCTCTGAGGGTTGCTGCGGATACATGGTGTACGTCATTACAAGAAGCCCTTGGTGTATCTGAAGCTAGAAGGGCATTCTTACCAATCAAGTTTTTCTTAATAAATGCTGTAAGGATTTGTTCTGTATACCCATCCGAAGCACTGACTATATACAAGGACATGATCAGGTGTGTATTGGTGATATCATCCTCAAGCATTTTATTCAGCAAAGATCCCCTGTTGAAAGCAGCTTATGAGCCACTTGTTGAATTATTGGAGTCTAATTCCTTTCATTTACTAGACACACTTATGAAGTCATCAGAAGTAAGACTAGAGTCGAAATGCCAGCTTGTGCAGTATTTTCTGGAAAATGAAGAAGCTAATGGTCCAGCTCAAGTGGGGCAGAATGATCAGAGAGAGATAAATTTGGTTTCATTGAGCTGCATTTTCTCTCTGGATCCTGATGTCGATAACAGAAACAGAGCTCTTTTACCTGCTAAACTTATTGTGTTTTTGCACTTCCTCACTATTTCCCCAAACTTGGACGAAGAGGTGGTCATTGAATTATCTAAAAAGCTACAATCTCTTCTCAATATGTTAACATTGGAAGATGTCTACTCATTTGTCCTTGGCTGCCATATTCCTACAGTTTATAGTGCTGACCATCCTCCTGTAGTTGTCTGGCAACCTGTGTATACTTTTCTCATACAAGCCCTGAAGACTTATATGATTGCTGCTGCTGCTGCTTCAAGTGTTGCTTGGAATGAGGTGGAAGCCTTCCTACTTGAGAGCCTTTTTCATCCCCATTTCTTTTGCTTGGAAATTTTAACAGAGCTATGGTGTTTCTTCACGCGCTGTGCTGAAAGTGAAACTTCAACTTATTTAATCAACCAACTATTTCTTCTGTTAAAGACTGCAGCGTCATCAGAGAAAGTTCTTGCACCTCTCAGTGCTTTCCGGAAGGTTGCACGTGCATTCTGTATCATCTTGAGCTATGCATCATGTGCAACTGTTGATCAAATTTATACCTGTGTGCTGAATGATCATAACTCTTCCAAGTCATCAGTCCTGCACTTAGCGTTGTTGATGGAAGGATTTCCTTTTGATTCATTGTCAGATGGTATAAGGATGCATGCTGTAAACCAATTGTTCACTTCTTTTGTCGGGTATCTACAGAGCTCCTTGAAGAATCATGGTGCGATTGTTTTGCCAACTTCTAGTTCCGGGGTAATAGGTCTTCCTGTACATGCTCTAGCCTCCGCATTGCAGCGATGGTAAGTCCCTTCTTGTAGTATTATCAAGTCTGATGAATGGATGCTGATTTTATGCTCTTGTTTCTTTTTGCAGCGAAATAAAGGACTATAGCCTCATAGATGGGAAGAGTATTACCACTATGTTTAAGTTCAGCATCTCCCTCATCAATCTGTATAGAACTGCACCTGACAGCAGTAAGGGCCACCTTGCCCAGCTCATTAGTTCCGTATTGGATATTATCTCAAACATGAGGCATCTGTGTGCATTCTATCAGATGGAGAAACTAACTCTAGAGTTGCACACCCTGTTCATGTCTAGTTCTGACAATTCAAAGGCAGTGCTGTCCCAGTGCAAACCATCACTAGCTTCATTTATGGCAATTCTTGGTCACTTGAACTCCAGCGAAGATGATTCTAATTCACTTTGTTCTGCAATGCCGGATTTATACCATCTCTTGGTGAGGGAAAGGCACTGGGCACTCGTTCACCTAGCAATGGGCTCCTTTGGCTACTTTGCTGCCCGCACATCTTTTACGCAGCTCTGGAGATTCGTTCCTGGAGATGCTGCCCTTTCATATAATACAAATACAGGGGTGGACATTGACGAGAACGGATTCATGTTGGAACTGAGAGCCTTTCTTCAGAAAGAGGTTGCTTTACGCGCTGACAAATGGTCTGAAGAGCAGGTCTGCTTTCTAGTTTCAGAGGGGAGAGTGCTGAAGAAACTGGTTGAAACAACATCTGAAATTCCACAAGCTCCAGAGCGCGAGGAAAAAGCTGCCATTTCAATGGATGTCAACACAAAGAAGAGGAAGTTGCCAGATGGAATCGGCGAAGGGATGGCGCTGCTACAGAATGGTCTCAAGGTGATGCGAAGCGCTCTTGATGAAACTGATTCAGCAGAGCTCAAGGACAGGCTTGCGACACACTTGTCACGCCTCGAGAGTGCAGTTTCTCAAATTGCAAGTTTCTCTGACAAAATCTGATGCTCCTCGCCGCTTCTGTTACTCTTCAGTTGTCAGATGGTAGCCTGCCTTGCTGCCCCCATGTAACTTATTAAGGCACAACAGCTAATTGTAATGCACGTTGAGAATCAAAGCTAATTGTAGGTGTCCTGTTAATTCGTGGTATTTATATCTTGATATGCTACTGGGTCAAAGGTTAAGGCTGACTTGAAGACGACTATTTCTGTTGTGAGCAATTGTACATTCGAAATCTGGAATGACGAAACATGTCAACTGAATACATATTTGTAACATGCGAGTTAAAAATGCACGGATGAAGTGAATGTTCGTCGATCAATGTTGCTTGAAACAGGCTAGATTTAGCAGGAGCTCCTAATCTGGAAAACAAGAGGGACAGTTTCTTTGCTGTAATCCTCTAGTTTTCAGCATGCTCCAGTGTACTTTTTGCTTGTACCTAGTACCTTCAGGAGCTTGACAGCATCCTCTGTTTCCAATCCTTAGAGTAGCAGCAGATAGGTACATGAACATCTAACCATTAGTCACGAGAAGATATGTCGCAATTCAAACTTTGAAGTATACAAAATGAAGCCTGAAATGTATTTATACAAAACAATGATTTAACAAGGTATCAAAAGCTAACTTGAATGCTTTTTGTTAACATATTTGGACAATAGGTTCAACACTACATCTGAAAAACAATCGTTTCAACAATATAGTATGCTAATTAGCTAGCCAGTGAGTGAGCAACCCTATCCAACAAAAGCAAAACTAGTGGGAAGGGCTAAATATATATTGTAATATCTGTTTTGCGGGAAAGGCTAAATATATTTATACAAGGAAGGAAGATTTTTCCTCATCGTGTCCAGGTAAAGGCAAAGGTTAGCTAGGCATTTGAACCTGACAAAATACTAGATCACGGTTGACCAGGCAAAGCCTCAAGCAATCTTTATTGTTGTCTTGTACTGCCTGGCTCGTATGCTAGCTACCTACTTCCTTCGTCCGATGAAGAGTGTATATCTAGAAATTTTAAGATAAATTATGGAGTTAAGTAAAAAATGCATTAGAAAGGTGCAAGTCACTATCTCTCTCCTCTTTAATTACCCAATCCTCAATGAGTTAAGTGCATGTAGAAATTAAGAAGACCATGTGTAGATTGCTATTGGTCTTGATTACCGTGTGATGAGAGAAAAGTATTTTTTTTGTACTTTATAAAATGCATTGGAAAGATGGAAGTACATTCTTTTGTGGACAAATTTTGAAGCTAGATGTACACTCTTCACCGGACGAAGTGAGTAGTGCACTTGGTTCTTCCTTCAGTTATTATTGGGGAGCACGTCACCTCACATTGAATAATAACCACTAGTGGCGCATACAGATTATTACTAGTATTTTCTGTACTTTTTTAGCTGATTTCTCTGCACTCCTCCCAAATAGATTTGTTTTCTTGAAGAAAACAAATAGAAATATTGCTGGGAACTGACAAGGCAGCTGACTGCGCTTTACACCGCTGGTATGTCGACGGCAGAGCCCACTTGCTGGTAGCAAAGCGAATTATCCGTACGATAACTACTAGTCTTAGCATATGGCCGTGTATGGCAGAACTGTTCTTTATTTATGCCAGCAGGCAGAGGGTTTGATCTGTTCACACATTTCTCCCATAAATCTGAAGAAACCAGTCTCTTTAATTGTTTTTTTTTTCGAAACGGAGGCAGCGACAGTTGAACCAACGTTTCTTTTTGGTGAGGTCGATGGCTCCTCAACAAATGGTGTAAACGAAAACCTACTCTCATGGCATCTGTGAACTATACGTTGTGGGATCAACTCCAATTCGCTCAGCATCCGTCCTGTTTATAATTTGGGTCGGCAGTGCATCCAACATGCTGACCCGTATTTGCATGTGTGACCGGCTTGTCACCATTATTTAACAGTTATACACACATTCTGAATAGTTCACAAGCAAACAAAAATATCATTGTTTCACAACCAAATAAATATAGCATACTTTACAAAGCGAATAAAAATTAAATTGTCTCAAATGAATTTTTTAAAAAGATACACCTATTGGTTGCCAACATAAACCCACATATGCTCAACCAAATCATTTTGCAACTGAATGTGAGTTTCCTATCACGCATCTGATGATGAAATTGGATGAATTATGCAAGCGTTGTCGCTCCTCCTCCGTGCTCAGGCACAACATTGTCACCCTGAAACTAAAACCCTTGATCGTAAATACATTTCGGGCGCTCATCATCCACAATCATATTATGCATGATCACATAAGCAGTCATCACGTCCCACAACTTCTTGGTGCTCCAAGTTCTAGCCGGATATTGAATGATGCCCCATCGAGATTGCATAACACCAAAGGCACGCTCGACATCCTTCCTAGCACTCTCTTCCTCTTGGGCAAATCTTTTCGTCTTTTCTTCGACATGGTTGTGGCTTGTCTCCACAATAGTGGTCCATTAAGGAGAGATACCGTCACCTAGGTAGTAACCTTTGTTGTAGTTGTGGCCATTGATGTTAATATTGACCGGCGGGCTGATGTCTTTGGCAAGCCTTGCAAACACCGGCGAGCGTTGAAGCACGTTGACGAAGGAAATATGCCCTAGAGGTAATAATAAAGTTGTTATTTTATATTTCCTTATTCATGATAAAGGTTTATTATTCATGCTAGAATTGTATTGATTGGAAACCTAAATACATGTGTGAATACATAGACAAACACTGTGTCGCTAGTGAGCCTCTACTTGACTAGCTCGTTAATCAAAGATGGTTAAGGTTTCCTAACCATGGACATGAGTTGTCATTTGATAACGGGACCACATCATTATGAGAATGATGTGATGGACAAGACCCATCCGTTAGCTTAGCATATTGATTGTTCAGTTTTATTGCTATTTCTTTTTTTATGTCAAATACATATTCCTTCGACTATGAGATTATGCACCTCTCGGATACCGGAGGAATACCTTGTGTGCTATCAAACATCACAACGTAATTGGGTGATTATAAAGATGCTCTACAGGTATCTCCGAAGGTGTTTGTTGAGTTGGCGTAGATCGAGATTAGGATTTGTCACTCCGAGTATCGAAGAGGTATCTCTGGACCCTCTCGGTAATACACATCATAAGCTTGCAAGCAAACGACTAAGGAGTTAGTCATGAGGTGATGTATTACGAAACGAGTAAAGAGACTTGCGGGTAACGAGATTGAACTAGGTATGTAGATACCAACGATCGAATCTCGGGCAAGTAACATACCGATGGACAAAGGGAATTACGTATGTTGTCATAACGGTTCGACCGATAAAGATCTTCGTAGAATATGTAGGAGCCAATAGGAGCATCCATGTTCTGCTATTAGTTATTGACTGGAGAGGTGTCTTGGTCATGTCTACATAGTTCTCGAACCCGTAGGGTCCACACACTTAATGTTTGATGACGATATTGTATTATACAAGTTATGTGATTTGGTGACTGAATGTTGTTCGGAGTCCCGGATGAGATCATGAACATGACGTGGAGTCTCGAAATGGTCGTGAGGTAAAGATTTATATATAGGACGATGGTATTCGGACACCGGAAGTGTTTCAGAGGGTATCAGGTACTAATCGGGTCACCGGAAGGTGTTTCGGGTACCCCCGACAATGTTATGGGCCATATGGGCCTTGTGAAGGAACACACCAGCCCACAAGGGGCTAGTGCGCCCTATACGACTATAGGAGGAGGAGAAGGAAAGGGGGAAGGGAAAGGAAAGTGTGGATTAGGATTCCCACTTCCTTCCCTCACCCCCTCTGTCCTTCCCCTTCATGCATACATGGAAAGGAGGGGGGCGCAGGGCAAGGCAGGCCCTAGGGGGCGGCGACCGACCCTAGGGCGCCCCTGGCTGCCTCTCCTCCCCTCCCACCTATATATATGTGGGGAGGGGGCACCTCACAAGTACACAACATCAATTGTTAACCGTGTGTGCCCCCTCCATAGTTTACACCCCCGGTCATAGTTTTGCGGTGCTTAGGCGAAGCCCTGCAAGAATCACTTCACCATCACCGTCACCACGCCATCGTGCTGACGGAACTCATGTACTACCTCGACACCTTTCTAGATCAAGAAGGCGAGGAACGTCACTGAGCTAAACGTGTGCAAAATCGGATGTGCCGTACGTTCGGTGCTTGATCGGCCGGAGCTAGAAGAAGTTCGACTAGATCAAACACGTTGTCAAACGCTTCCGCTTTCGGTCTACGAGGACACGTAGACACACTCTCCCCCTCGTTACTATGCATCTCCTATATTGATCTTGCGTGAGCATAGGATTTTTTTTTGAAATTGTATGCTATGTTTCCCAACAGTGGCATCCGAGCCAGGTCTATGCGTAGATGATATGCACGAGTAGAACACAAAGAGTTGTGTGCGGTGATCGTCATACTGCTTACCACCAATGTCTTATTTTGATTCGGCGGTATTGTTGGATGAAGTGGCCCGGACCAACCTTACATGTCCACGCACATGAGACTGGTTCCACCGAGAGACATGCAACTAGTTTTGCATAAAGGTGGCTGGCAGGTGTCTGTTTCTCCTACTTTAGTTGAATCGAATTTGACTGCAGCAGGTCCTTGAAGAAGGTTAAAACAACAAACTTGACGAAACACCATTGTGGTTTTGATGCGTAGGTAAGAATGGTTCTTGCTAGAAGCCCATAGCAGCCACGTAAAACTTGCAACAACAAAGTAGAGGACGTCTAACTTGTTTTTGCATGACATGTTGTGATGTGATATGGTCAAGACATGATGTGATATACGTTATTGTATGAGATGATCATGTTTTGTAAAAGTTATCAGCAACCGGCAGGAGCCTTATGGTTGTCTCTGTATTGTATGAAATGCAAACGCCATGTAATTGCTTTACTTTATCACTATGCGTTAGCGATAGTTGTAGAAGCAATAGTTGGCGAGACGACCACGACGCTACGATGGAGATCAAGGTGTCGAGCCGGTGACGATGGAGATCATGACGGTGCTT